TTCTTCTGCTGGACGAATATACTTATTCAAAAAGGCGCGAAATCGCAGTTGCATTCGGCATGTTATATTCCATAACTTTTTTGCACTACGATTTCATAGTGAGTATCTTGCTAGATTGACGATGTGTTCCTTTTGCCGCCATCACTTGAAGTGGCAAAGATTGAACGAGAAATGGTGGAGAACTCTCCTACCTTCTACTCTGACGGCCAACATTATTCTTTATCCTCGTGAGTTTCATTTACTTGTTTTTTTGTTGTTGTAACCTTCACAAAAGGTTGTATCGTAAATTGCAATTTAATTTTGATTATTTTGGTGCTCTCTTGGCCACCTACGGACTAGCTTTCTTCTCTCTTGGCTTACTCCGATTAGCTTCTGATGCATTTGTGTTTGCTGGACCCATATTGCTCCATGTGCTCGTAGAAATCTTGGAGGATCCCGCCCCAAATGTAGGTCGCAATTAATTGCTTCATTGCAACAGTTCTCAGCACTCAAACTTTTTAAGAACTTGGGATACCTCTACGCTAGTCTCATGGTGATTTGTTCATTTCTGGCAGCTTTATTCTCCGCGAGTTTCACATTCTATATGCAAAAAATAAGTCTGAAGTAGGTTGTGTTGTGCTTTTCTTATCGTAATTGATCGTCAACTCAAAAATTTCCTATTAATGATTCTTGTTACTCTTGCTCAAGTTCGTTATAAATATATTAAAAAAAGATTTTTAGAGTACGCACAGCTACAGTAACCGCCATATACGACAAGTTATTGATGGTACCTCTGAGTGAAATGAGCAAATTTTCTTCAGGTGTAATGATTTTCCTGAAATTCTTCAATACCACTCCTTTTGTTGCGTCTTCTTATCAAAATACATGCATTTGATTTCGTAAAGGAATTATGACCTTTTGAATCCGAGAAATTTGTCGGTTTCGCGTTCATTTAAATACTTGTTTCCAAATGTTCTTCAAAATAAGATCTCTTATTTCCTTGTTTCTTATTATCCGATTGCCATTCCAGGAATGATTCTCAACTTTATCTCTACTGATGTTGATCGAATTGTAAATTTCTGCAATTCGTTTCATGCATTTTGGAGCTTACCAGTTCAACTGGGCATTGCTCTTTACTTACTTTATCGTGAAGTTAGTTGTGAGTTATCTCTACTTCTTTCAATCCATTCTGCCAATTCTAGATTGGTATGGCCTTCTTAGCT